TAGGATACAAGGTATAATTGGACTTGGGCCTAAGGGTTTCTCAAAGAGCACCGTTAAGGTCTGAAGAAGAAAGTGAAATCTAAAATGACATATTTGGAAAAGAGAATATACATTCAAATTTCATTTTTAGTCTGGTCAGTGTATTAAAGTATTCACCTTTACAGGAAGCTGGCTATTCATGATCATATGGTAGTAGCCCTCTGAGGTTTATACAGGTTGGAGTACAAGCTACTTTAGGACTCATGTTCTAATCTTTTTTTTTCTTTTTTAATCTCTTAACCTTTAACATAAGGCCTACACACAGCCTGTGGTCAATAGAAGTATGCTAAATTAAACTTATAGATAACTTTTTCTTATATACCTTTCAGTCTCAAACATAGAGACATAAAGGTGATTAAATAGCAAATGAGTGGAAACAGACACTAGGAATTTAGATGAAAAACTATAGGAACTCTCTTTTAATGTATCTGTGGCATGTTAGTGCTATTATTGGCATATGGGTGACCCTCAGGAAGTTCGGAGATAAGGTGTCACAGAGAAGATGAAATCTAATCTAGGTCTGGAGAAGCAGGTAAGATTTGTTTGGAACCCTTCTGAACAAGAGTTTGTAATGGAACTAGAGAGGAATATTCCCTCTCTAATCCCACACAGATTTATGTTTCTTCTTAAAGTATGATATCCTTTTCTATGAAGTGATATCTATCACAATTTTCTTGTAGGTCAAGATTATATAAATCAGGGTTACCAGTTGGACTGGAGGACAAATGCTCATGAGTATCTGTCTTGCTGTAGAATAGAGCTACTTTTGACTTTAAACCTTAATGGTTTTACATTGTTTATGAATTGTTTGTGAAATCTTTTCTTTGCTCTTTTTAATTTTTTTTTTTTTTTAGTGTTGATGGACCTTTATTTTTATGTGGTGCTGAGGCAAGCACTCTACCATGGAGCCACAACCCCAGCCCTTTACTTTGTTGTTGATCAGTTCAATTCAATAAATATTTACCACATCTACCATGCATGTATTCCCAAAAAGTGATTACATAAGGTTGAAATATAATACTATGGTATGGATGCTTTTAGCATTTTTAAGATTTTAGATGTCTATATTTATGGTTAAGAACATGAGTTGTGGTGATTCTTGTTAGGGATTTTTTTTCCCATTATTAGTCCACTGTTGTTTTTCTACATCAACTTAAGAGATGAGCTCCCTGACATGGCAAGGGGAACTGTATAAACTGTTGTTATTTACAACAACTTATCACTGCAAAATCACAATTGTATCAATGCGGTATAGTAATAAGTTTACATATAATTGTGATGCTAAGTCTAATGTAACATAGGAGGTCTATATATAACCCCAAATATAACCTCACTTTTGAGTTACAAGCAGCCTGTTTTCATTAACCTCATACTATATAAATGTTATACACTTGAACATATGCATTTATTCTAATGAAATATCACTCTTGTCTTTTCTCTTTCTTGGTTTGATAACAGGTTTTCTTTGGAAAAGATTTTTCTGCATTACAAAAGCAGTGCTTGGAAACCACTGCTCTAATATCTTCCTTCAAATTGTTACTAGAGATCACTTTTTAAACCCAAATTTGACCATGGCCCCTTTGTGCTTAAAATATGTCAATGGATCCTACCTAACTCCTTTGTGTCAGAACCCTTCTTAGCTGTTGCCCAACTCCCCAGTTTTATCTCCTACCGTGTCCCTTCCCATTTTAACCTTAAGTCACACACTTACACTTGCTTGTATTTCTGGGCCCTTGGAATAGTCATCATTTCTCCCACTTTTAATTTAATATTTGTTTATTTTTGGTGCTAGGGATTAAACACAGGGGTGCTCTATCACTGAGTCACATATCCAGCTTCTAATTTTTTGAGACAGGGTTTTGCTAAGTTGTTGAGACTGGCATTGAAGTTGTGATCTTCCTGCCTCAGCCTCTAGAGTTGCTACAATACAGGTGTGCACCCTGTTCCCAGCTCAAACCACTTTTTAAAGAGCTATTTCCAATGTCAAGGTACTGTTTACAGTGTCCAGCTTCTTTCTTCCTTAAGAGAATCAGTTTTTATCCTTCAAAGTTCAACCTAAATATAAAGTCTCCCCTGGCAGGCTTCTTTCCTTCCCCACCAAAGAGTTGGGTCTTCCTTACACTATGTTCACCCAACAGCCCTGAATACACCATCATCTAACTAAACACATTTTAATGGAGTGTTTTATTTGTTTTCTCCTTGGAATCCCCAATTAGACTATGACTTTTATGAGGACAAGGATATGCTCTATAGTACCTTTGGATCCCTGCTCCTTAAGACAGGATCTGTTTCACAGGTGTTAAGTAACACATACTCATTGAATAAATTTTAAAAAATGACTAATTTAGAATTCATTATAGTTGCCTAGGGACTAGTGTTGATGTTTCCCTTTGTTTAGCAAAGCCCTTCCCCAAAGGTAATCTAAGATTAATAGTATAAATAAGACTATACAGAGAATATTTAAAATGCTTAAGAGAACAAACTTTTCATATCCCCTCAAGTATTTTATAAGCATCAATTTACATATAAACAATTGATATGCTAATTAAAATTTAGCCATATTTGTTCATTAACACTGGCTCCTTAAGGACCTCTATCCGGCAATGGTTGGAATGACTGAATCTTGTTACCTTGGTTTGTGCTCCCATGCATACTACAGATAAATAAAAAGTCATTCCCTTAAAATAGTCAGTAATTCAAATAATTTTCACAAAATCAAAATGGCCTTTCCAGATTTGCAACATTAATTATTAACTACTGTTTTACTTCGTTTTATATGACTTAAATGCATTGTTATATAAAGGATTAAAAACATACAAGAGAGTATTGATAGAGACATTCTATTATATATTATAAAGCCCCAAATCTTTTTTTTAATATTTATTTTTTTAGGTATAGTCAGACACAATACCTTTATTTTATTTGTTTATATTTCTGTGGTGCTGAGGATTGAACCCACAGCCTTGGCATGTGCTAGAAAAGCACTCTACTACGGAGCCACAAACCTAGCCCCAAGCCCCAACTCTTTGACATAAAATACAAGGTCCTCTATCATATTCCACCTGCTATTTATTCTCTCCTAGATATTCCACCTATGTGTTCTGCTACACCTGTTATTAAGTTGAATCTAGTTACATAAACTCCTTGCCTTTCTTGAGAGAGACAATGTCTTTTCATAATACATGTTGTCATAAACATTGTTGCTTTTCTCTAGAATGGCCTTTGCACACTCACAATCATGGATTCATCCATGAACTCCAACATATTTTACCTCATGTTATTATTTGGACACAATGTGTCCCCCTAAAAGCTCATGTATAGAAAACATGATATCCAATAGAGCAATGTTGAGAGGGGACATGATTAGGTTATGAGAATTGTAACCTCATCGATAGATTAATCCATTTGATGAATTAATAATTTGAATGGTTTACTGGGTGGTAAGTGTGGACAGGTGAGGTGTGGTTGGAGGAAGGAGTCACTGGGGACATGCCTTTTGGGATTATACCTTGTTCCTAGCTTCTCTCTCTCTCTCTCTCTCTCTCTCTCTCTCTGAACCAACTATGAGCTGAGCAGATTTCTTCTATTATGCTCTTCCCCCCTGATGTGTTGCCTCATTTTGGGCCCAGAGTAATGAATTCTGCTGATCATGGACTGAGACCTCTGAAACTATCATCCCTAAGTAAACTTTTCCTCCTCTAAGATGTTCTTGTCAATTATTCTGGTCATAGTCATGATAACGAATACACCTCACAACTCGAAGAAATCACCAGAGTGAAGCTTTTGTGATTACCTTAGACAATGTCAGTCACCGTTTTCTCTATTTCTATGACATTTTATTGAGATATATTAGAGTATTTTATTTATGATACTATAAGCATATATTGAAGTCTGTTCAATTTGAATAATGTTTTTGAATGTAAGAACTTCATGCTGTTATTCTTTCTGTCCCGCACATCTAGGAATGTGTCTGGTATAAGGAAACAAGTTGTGGGATCAATTGTGTCCCCCTAAAAGATAATATTAACTTCTGATTCCTGGTACCTATAAATGTAGCCATATTAGAAATAAGTCTTTTGCAGATGTAATAAAATTAATTAATTAATTAATTACTGGATTAGGGTGAGCCCTAAATCCAATGACTGTTGTCCTTATTAGGGGACAGAGGTTTAGACACACAGAGACACAGACACACAAAGGAAAGGAGGCCATGTAATGGTAGAGGCAGAGACTGGAGTGATGTATCTGCAAACCAAGGAATGCCAAAGACTGCAGAAGCAATAGAAGATAGGAAGGAATACATGAAACAGTTTCTGTCTTACAGCTCCCAGAAGAAACCAACCCTGCTGACACCTTGATTTCAAATTTTCAGCCTCTAGAATTGTAAGAGGATAAATTTCTATTTTGAATCTCTCCATTTGTGATCATTTATTATGACAGTTCTAGTAAACTAATATAGTACCTAATATACTTCTATATAATGTATACATAAATAGATGATGAATGATATAACAGAGGAGATCCTTTATGTCCAGTAAATTCTCCAAAATCTCTATGTCTACTAAGTTTTTCACTTGGCATAATGCAGAGTACTTTATAACTTCTATATCTGTTTAATTCCAAGATGATTCTAGCTGGAAGGGGAAAGTCAGAAAATCCATGGTCAACTGCTTCTCTCTAAGCCTAATCCCCAGTGGGAATAGAGAGAAGCCTACAAAGACACAGCTGAAAGATTTAGGATCATGAATGTCTAATTGAAATTCCTCTCATATTCTGGGAAATTCCCTTTGAAGTTTTAGTTGGAGTATTGTGTTCTAAAATGGACCACATTGCCTAGCATACAAACCTGCAATCCCAGCTACTCAAGAGGCTGAGCCAGGAGGACTCCAAGTTTAAGGCTAGCCTGGGCAACTTAGTGAGATCCTGTCTGAAAATAAAAATAAAAAGGTCTGGGTATTTACCTTAGTGACACAGCACCACTGGATCACTCCTCAGTACTGCAAAATAATAATAACAATAATAATACTTATTATTATAAATATTATTATTGAAAAATAAAACAGGTCATATAGTGCTGGAATCCTCATACAATGTTCTCCCATCTATGGTAGAATGGTAGAATATCTTCCTATCTCCCTTACTTAAAAACTGTAAGAGTGAAATAAAATGCCAATTTGAAGGTAAAAGAAGATCGTATTTCTTAAAGGTTGCCATATAGCTTCTTTCTCGAAGAATAGCACACATTGCTATTTCTGCTGTTGCTTATAAGAACTATTTTAGAGTAAGTTTACAACAAAAATCAGAGTGATGGACACAGTAGACCTAAATTTAAAAATAGGTAAGATGTTGCTTCTCTAGCCATTTCATTAACATAGCCTTTGCTAAAAAAAAAAAAAAAAAAAAAAAAAAATTACCGTCCCCTACAATCATATAAAATCTTGTTGTTTACAAAAGGCTTTGACATACAGTCTTATTTAGAATCAATATCAAACATCTTTTATTCATTTTTTTCATTAAAGATTCCTTTTCCACCTTACTATCTTTTTTCCTATGCTGAAATTGATTTCCTAGTTTCTTATTTGGAGTCCTCCTCATCTGTGTTTCTAATTTTCTTAAGCTTTTCTCCCACTTACCCATTTACAACTATAGTCCATCATATTCCTTATTATGATGTCTCTGTAAAAATATTTCAGCTTTCAACTATGAAGCTCACTCTTTCTTCCTATCTCCCTTACTTAAAAACTGTAGAGTAAAAATAAAATGCCAAACAGAAGGTAAAAGAAGATTGTATTTCATAAAGGTTGCCATATAGCTTCTTTCTTGAAGAATGCAGATTTTGTTTGCCACCAGAAGGCAACAAACTATTTCTATGTGGGCACTAAAGTTACCACCATCAAGAAGCAATAGAATTCAATGAGATTCATATTCGTCTTCTCTTCCAGTGATGAGTTTAAGTCAAAACAGACACAGCTGAGTAATGACATAGTTTAAATCTAGAAAGAGACATACATTAATGAAGCAGACACCAGAAACACAGATTGTAAAGCATTAAAGAAACACATACCAAATGTCCCACCAGTCTGTTTTGTAAAACAGCTTCAGGAAAGGCTCAGCTGAAAACCAATTTATAATACCCTGTCTGCTGACAAATCCCCAACACTAACACTGAGAGACCTACAGCTACCTTGTGGGGAGTCTCTATTAGGTTTATAGTGACTCTTGTCTGGAAGACCTGTGAGGAATACTTTATGAGCTACTGTTGTGACTCTATATATTATTTGCACTTATTTATGAAGTACACACTTAGATAAAGTGCAATCACTTAACTTTGTGCCAGGAACTAAGATCTAAGTTTGCTTAATCTTCATAACCCTAGGATACAGATAATCTGATTATATCCATTTTATAGATAAGAAAAATGAGGCACAGGGAGGTCAAATAATTTGTCTAAGTCAGACATATATTAAATTGCAAAGCTAGGTTCAAATCCAGATAGTTCCTTCTCTGTAGTCCATATATTAACCACTATTTTATCCCATTCGGTGATTTCTAGAAGTGATTTAGCTTCTAGACTAATGTGGGCCCAGAGTAGGAGAGATCTTTAACCTTTTTCAGTTTCTTGTTTCGTGGCTTCATTTCAGGATTCCATCAGCCTTCATGATTTATTCAGCATCTAAGGTGCAAAAAAACTTATAGCAGATACTGCTAAAATTGTAGGTGGAATGAATGTAGTCTTTGTCCTCTGAGAGCTTAAAAATAACTTAAACATAAAGGCCATATGTAGACCAAAGAAAAATTTACTGATATTTACAAAGCTTTATATGTATCAAGAGATTGCTCAAGTACTGAAAGTAGATGAAGTGAGGGATTTGGATTTCTGTGCAACAATTCCCTGTAGGTTAGAAATAGTATCTGTGAGGTAATCACTAGACATGCTGCTATAGATCCTACATGTCTGCTTATGGGAAGATATACCATTTGAGACTGGTTTCTCCAGCTGACTAGGTCTCTGCTATTTCATCCATCATGAGAGCAGGACTAGCTGTAGTTAGTGTATCAATGGGAGGATGGAGAATATGAAAACAAACACAAATATGCATACATATCATGTATATGAATGCATGCATATATACACATATATAATGTATGCATACATATCTATAAATAAACTAATACACAACTGGAAATTGTTGGGAAATTACTATACAACAGACACTGTGCTGAGTGCTTTACATCACATTAAGTCTGTAATATAGGTATCACTATTCATCTTATGGAGTAGAAAACTGAGGTACAAAGAAGAACAGTAAGATAGTAAGTGGGAAGAGTCAAAGTACAAACCCATACTGTCTGACACCATAGTCACGTGATCTATTGCACATCATTTGAGTTAGGCCTTACTATGATTTGGATTAGAGTGCCCCCTCCAAAGGTCTGTATGGTAAAGTCTTGGTCTTAAGGGTGGTGCTGTTGGGAGGTAGTAAACCATTTAAGCAAGAGCTTCTTAAGTAATTGGAGGCATGTTCTCCAAGAGAATTGTGGAAGCCCAGTCTCTTCTTTCTGCTTCCTGGCTCAAGATGTGAGTACTTGCTCTGATACATGCTCCTACCCATTCCATATACCATCTTTACCAGGGGCCAAAACAATGCTTCTGATTTGGATTTGAACTTCCAAATTCTGAACTTCCCTGTGCCCCCTCCCCCGGTACCAAGGATTGAACTCAGAGGCACTTGGCTACTAAGCCACATTCCCCAGCCCTATTCCGTATTTTATTTAGAGACTGGGTCTCACTGAGGTGCTTAGTGCCTCATTTTTGCTGAGCCTGGCTTCGAACTCATGATCCTCCTGCTTCAGCCTCCAGAGCTGTTGGTGTTACAGGAGTGTGCCACCATGCCCAACAAACCTCTTCTCTTCATAAGTCAATTAACTCAGGTATTTTGTTGTATTAATGCAAAGTTGACTAATATGGGCCCTATCCTTACTTGTTTGCTTTTATACTTTCCCCTTTTTACAACCTACTTATTACACAAAGCCTTTTAAAAATCAGCCACAGAACAGAATCAAGAGTTTGGTGAAACGTCAAAAGCTGCAATTTTGTGTTTCAGCACCAGGCCACATTGGACTTGAATACTTTCCCTCTTAACATTTCTATTGCAGGTTTAAACAGTTGCTACATATACAAGATCCCTAGTAAAAAGCCCATTGTTTTTGTAACTAAGGGAGTCTTAGAAGTTAAAGGCAATGAAACTTGTCATTGCTATGATGCCAAAACAACAACAACATCAAAAATAACAACAACCACCACAAAAAACCCTTCTCAACACAATGCATGGTAAAATGTCTAGAATATTGGCTGATCCGTGATATGTGAACAACAGCCAATTCTGTATTATGTTTAGCAAGGAAAAAATCAAATGCTATGAGAATGTTATGAATATTTAATTATCTTAACTAAGATGTATTTTGGAACAATACATTTCACATACTTGGCACACTGTGATAAGCTGATGCATGCATAAGGCAAATCATATAATCAAACTTAAAAGTATATTCAGTGCACAAAACAATATAGAATGAAAGAAATTCTTGTTCCTTATTATAAACATAGGGTTGTAAGCTAAATTGTGTCTCCCTTCAAATTCATGTGCTAAAGCACTAACCCACAGTACCTCAAAATGTAACTGTATTTGGACATTGGGGCTTGGGATGGAGCTCAGTGGTAGAGCATTTGCTTATGAGCAAGACCCTGGGTTAGATCCCCAGGACTGCAAAAAAAAAAAAAAAAAGAAAAGAAAAAGAAAGGAAAATAAATAAGTAAGATTAAAATACAGAAAATATAGTTAGAGGTAAATAAATAAAAGATTAAAGTACAGAACATATACATAGAGGGATAACCATGTGAGACCACAGTGAGAAGGTCATAATCTGCCAGCCAAGGAGAGGCTTTAAGAAACCAAACATGCTGACACTCTTGGACTTCTAACCTCTAGAATAGTGAGAAAATCAACTTCTGTTAAAAGCATCTAGTCAGTGATATTTGTTAAAGCAGCCCTAGCAACTATTTTTATACCTTCAAAATCCTTCTTTTTTCATGTTGTTCAGATAGGAGCATATATATTGCTTTTCCATGTGAAATTGTACTATCATTGAAACAAACACACAAACTCACTCTAGCCATCTTGAGATTTTCTTTTCATTTTGTTTTAAAGGAAAGAAATTGTGTACACTAAAAAAGAAATGAATGATGAATGAAGAGTAAAGTGAGTTAAGTGCCAAATTTTGAGGGGATGGGTCCAGAACACAAAATCATTCCTCAGGCACTGAGGAATGGCACGATTCCATTCATTTAGAACTCTAATATTTTAACTATGTATTAATTGCTTACAAAATTTATTAATTTATCTACTTTTCCAATGTATACTTCTTGATTTTTCAACTAAATGGTTCTCTAATCAGATATAAACAATCTAGTAGGGTTAAGACATTTACATTTTTCATTCTATGGAATATGGCACATAATAGGAACTCAATAAATATTTCATCAAGAAATGAATATAAGGGCTGGGGATATAGCTCAGTGGTAGAATGCTTCCCTAGCATGATGAGGCCCAGAGTTTGATCTTCAGCTCTTGAGAAGAACACATTTTCTTTTTTATTTTCAGCATTTGAAAAAAAGAAATGAATGGATTTTTTCCCCTTAGGTGACTTCATAAATTTCCATAAATTTATATACTCAAAATCACTGAGTTTACAATGTGGGAGAAAACACAAGAACCCTCTATTTCAACAACCTGATTTCATACAAGGGAAGAATGCTGAGGGCCAGAGAACCCAGTGTTCAGATCAATGTTGTACAGTTACAGACTTGAATTTGTCTTCTGACTCTTAAGACTCTTTCCCTGATAGCCAGCTGAGTCACTGAGACTTTCACAAATTATTATGACAGAAATGTGTCATGTACAACTATGGAACATTTCAATAATTTTCTGGACTGTAT